CGTTTAAAAATGTAAATCTGAACTTGTCAGACCTTTCAGGATCCCCACTGTGTTTAGGATAAAATCGCAAATCCTCCCAAGGTTCTAGAGGGCCCCCGCCAGGTCAACCCCAGCTTTATCTGGCACTTTCTGTTCTCCTTGTGCTCCAGCCATACCGAATTTCTTTCCTTTCCAGAGTCCCCAAGTTTTTTGCTTGTTGGCTTCGGGGCACCCTGTTCCCTCCTTCTGGAACAGTGCCTGCCGCAGCGCCTTGCCTGCCTTTCCCAACCTCCCCGTTCCCGGGGTGGTCCTCCTTCTCTGTGGGGACATCTGCACGCTGCCGAGTTCCCGACCAGCACGCAGCAGGCCTCCTCTTCTATAAATGTCCTCCGGGAGTAGCAGAACTCCTCTTGGCTTCTGTTTCCCTGAGGGGAAGAGGCGAACTGACCTGCCTCTGCCCAGGACGGAAGGCTTTAAATAGTGCTGACACACCAGGAGGCGGAAAAGCCCTCCTCCTAGAATGTGGCTGCTGGACCAGCCTGGGGGTTCTCCACTTGTGCAGAGACCACTGTGGTCTGCTCCATCAAGACTGTGTCCCTGCCATGCTGGGTCGGGACTTGGACAGGGTTATAAATTACAATTGTAATCGCCGTTTTGAGTGTGCGTTTCTGAGGTAGGAGTTAGTGGGACGTAGGCAGACAGAACTTGCCACCCCAGGGAACCAAGATCAGGGTTTAGCAGCCTCCGAGATGCGACCCTGAGAAGTGCAGCATCCTAGTCGATAACATTTCCGTCAGTTCCCTCTGTATCGCTGTTAAGCAAGGGCTGGGAAATTACAGTGTGCAGCAGCCCTGGATTACAACTCTGACTGCATCACCTGCCAGCCGGGGGTTAGGGACCTCACTGCTGCCAATCTCAGTTTCTTCATCTGTAAAGTGGGGCTGATAATAGCACCTACTTTCCCAGGGGTGTTGTGAGGAGTCATGAGGTAGTGACCTTTAAAGTGCTTATTTAGTGCCTGGCACACGAGGCGCTTGTGGTTGGTTATTCCTGCTACTGTTATCGTCCGATGGGGCACTAGGAGGAGTTGGGCCGGGTAGCAGTGCTCCCCCTCTGTGAAACCCCAGCTTTGAGTATTACTCCCCAGAAGCCATATTTTTCCAATTTTTATAAGAAACTCCAAGAAGTGTAGGTGGTTTATTTTGAAGTCGCATGGACAGGCAATGACTGGTTGGGGGAGGGTACAAAGATTACTAGGACCCACTTCCTGTTCAAGTGGAGAGAAGACAAACCAATAATCACAATTTAGCAGGGGCACCAGGTGAGGCACTCCACAGACTGTGAGGAGAGGACTTCAGGACAGTGGCAGGGGTGTTTTGGGGGTCTGGGGAACACTGGGGTCCTCTCCTTCGGGTGAGGAGGGCAGGATGTATGGGAAAAACTGGCCACACTTCCACGCAGGCTGTGTGATTTGTGGGGAGAGACAGGCTGGCTGAGCTCTGCAGGTGAGAAGCTGGGTGTGTGTTCCCCCAGTAGATGAGAACCTTCTCTTTGCCCAAACTGGCTGGGGTGCAGGTCGGGGCACATCAGACCTAGACAGAGCCCTGCCCTCCTGGATGGGTGGGCTGTCCAGTGGAAGAGACAATGACAAGACAGGCATCAATAAATTCCACGCCCCTCTCCCCACCCTGGTCTCCATCCCCCTAGGAGCCTGCAGGAGGCAGCCTGGGAATCAAGCCCTGTCCTTTGTGGGGGAGAAGGCAGTTTCTAGATCCCTAGTTGGGGGTGTGGTCTGGAGATGGCATCTTGAGCCTGGGGGTTGGAACTGCATCCCTTCGTATCCTCAGCATAGCCTTTTAAGGGGGTGACCCTCTGACCTCCAGACGGTCCCCTCCTCACCTTCCAGCTAGAAGCCCTTGAGGCAGGAGCTTAAGGAAGCATGGCTCTAGTGGCCTCAGGTTTAGACGCAGATGGGAGGCGAAAAAACCCTGGTGTCCCTTGGGCACTAGTGGGGAGCTCAACCAAGGCCAGGGGCCTGGGTCAGGTCCATGGGAGTGCAGGGCTGAGAAGCGGGTGCCTGACCCAGGAGGAGGGAGGGGGTTATGGGCAAAGGGTTCAGAGGAGGGGGCAGGCGGGGCATTGGGAGTCTAGGTCGCAGGGTGGGGGTGGGAGGGAGAGGGGTCCGGCCAGTGCAGAGGGGGGCGCCCCCGGGGAGGGGCACGCTATGTCTTTAAGAGCTGCCTGAGCGCAGGTTGCAGCTGCCTGGCCAGCCCGAGAGACAGCGGAGATTCATTACCCGCCGACACAATGACCATTGATGGCCCCGTGGCGTTATTCAAATCCAGTACCAATTGCAGCCGAGCCCCTTTCTCCGCGCCAGGCCCGTATTGTTGGAGCGGCCCACTAAAAGCCCGCCCCGGCCCCGAGCCGCCAGAGGCGCCCGCTCGGGTTCAGCCCTGCGCCTCGCCATCCCGCCGGCTCCCGGCCCGGCTCCCCGGGCGCTGCAGGTGACCCGGCGGCGCATTCCAGCGCTCCCCGCCGCCCCAGCCACGGCGGCCACCGCCACCGCCACCGCCACCGCCGGCGCCCTGGCCGCGACTCAGCCACAGGGAAGCGGAGAGCGCCGGAGCCGGTGCGTGCGCGGGGCTGGGCGGGGGCGGGGGCCCGAGTCCAGCAGCTCGGACCCCGAGCTCGGAAACGCGGCCCGGCCTCGGGCCCCTGCTTTCGGGATTCCTGGCGAGCCCGGGGAACCCAGGCTGGGGGCGGGGAGAGGGGAGTCGGGGTTCCCCGGGCCTGACAGAGGAGATTCCCCTGACCTGGGGCGGCGCAGAGACCTAACGCGGGCTACTCTGGGGACCCTGGGCTGCCATCGAAGGAGACACACGCCAGGGGCGATGGGGATCCCCACGCAGGGTCGGGAGCTGCGTGCCCGTTCGTCCACCTCTTACCGCGGGGATGGGCCGCGAACGCGAGCGTCTGCAAGGTAGTGGGACGCGCGGCTCCGGAGGTCTCCTAGTCCGGTTCTTTCAAGGAGCGCAGCGGAGCCCTCCAGGTGCCCGGGGCCCTGAACTCGGGGGCTTCGCCACTGATTGTCCAAACGCAATTCTTGTACGGGTCTGCGGCCAACCGAGAATTGTGGCTGGACATCTGTGGCTGAGCTCTGGGCGCAACGGGGGCGGGAGCCGAAGGGACACAACTCGGCACGGGCGAGATCCCTCCGGGCGGCGGCTGCCCGGCCCCAGCGCAAGGACCGCGGCGCCGGCCGGGCGCGCGGAGGAGGAACGCCGGTCCCCGCCACCCGCGCCGCCATCCTCACCCTCGTCGTCGCCGTCGTCCTCCTCTGCGGGTGACCGGTCCCGGCTGGCGGGTCCTCCAGTCGATCGCGTCGTTTTTCCCCTTTTCAAATTTCGGCCGGGAACGAAGCTGGCACGCCGCGGCGGGGCCCGAATGTGGTCCCAGGGGCCCGCCCTCGGCCTGAGCCGCAGGAAGTCGGGGGCGAAAGAAGATGCCGGCAGAAAGCGCTCGCTAACTCGTTTTGAACTGGTTCTAACCTATCCCCCTACCAATACCCCCACAACAAAAAAGCCTACATCGACCCCCAAATCCCAAATAAAATGACCCCTCCCGCCAGAGCCTCCGGACCGACCGATGGGCTCAGCCTCCGTCAGCCTCTGCCGGAGTCAGAGAAGCGTCGGGAATGATGCGCTCCAGCCGGGCAATCGCCTCGGCTTTGGAGACAACTTGGAGAAACGAACCCCTTTCATTAAAGACAAATCTTCGGAGATAGTGGGGCTTATTTATTCGTTTATTTCCTCAAAATCAGGGGTCGGAGTTGCTGGGGGGGTGGCAGTTGGTCATTGCTGGGGCTGAGCCCAGGTCACCTGTCTCTGACCCTTCAGCAACTCCAGGCTGAAAATGACCCGAAATGCTGTGGAGTATGGCCCTGACCAGTTTCAGCGACAGCACAGGCATCCCTGGATGCCACGGAGAACCTGGCTTGCCCAGCGCACCAACCTACCCTACTCCTCAGCATTAATTGGGGTGTGGTGGAGGAAAGGATAGCCCATCTATCCCCCTTCCCCCAGTGCACATGGGAGAAGACTCCTATGGCCCAGTTTCCAGGACCTGGAATCCGAAGGGGTCAGTGGGCCGCCCCAGTGGGGCTGGGAGCCAGGAAGGACCTGCGGGTTTAGAGGAATCAGGGGACAGGCCCATCTTTTAAAGTGAAGCCGCAGGGGGCCATTTCAAATCCTTTGCTCTGTTCCCTAACATAGAGACCCTGACCTTGGCACTAGTGTGGGTTGGTCATACGGCTTCTCTAGACAGCACTTGGTCCCCAACACTGGCCTTAATTTGCACCCAGCCCAGCTCCTATCTGTAACTCCAACATGAACCCGTCCTGGCCCCCTACACACACACCCAGAGGGCCGCCACCTGCAGTGCTGGAGAGAAGCTGGCTGGTCAGGGGGTCGTCTGTCCTCTAAGCCTTGAGAACGATGTGCACACATATGCACCTGCTCCCCCAACACTGCTGGTACAACCATTTGGTACTTTCATCTCCACAGAATTCAAGAAGTTCCACTTAAAATTATTGACGTTTAATGAAAAGCAAGGCTTTGGGTGAGATGTTAATGACCTATTTTTTTTTTAGTGGGGGGAGGTTTTCCTCCAGCAAACAAAGCTTTTTCTCCAGGTCATGGGAAGAGGGGCTCAGCAGTCTTATCTATGCCACCCCTGTTCTGGGTTCTAGGGCTGCTGGCTGCAGCTGGTGGGACAAAGCCTGGCCTTGGACAGACGGGTAGGGAAGTGTCCGGGGACCCAGACTGGTCTGCAGACTGGCTCTGCTACCCCCTTCTCCAGATGGCCCTATCAGATCACCCCCTCCCAGACGTACTGCTCCCTTTTTGGGTGAAGAGTAAGTTTGAAAGCTCTAGTCTGAGGGCAGAGATGTTGAACCAGAGGCCATGGCTGGGAGGATGTGGGGTGTCGTTGGTTTTTAAGGATGAAGCTAGAAGCGATGCTAGTAAACAACCTAGTCTTTTATTTGCCCAAGGCCAGCTGCTTCAGACACAGGCCCCAAGACTTCCCAAGGGGATGGAGGGAGAGGTGAACTGTCCTGTCTACCAGGTGCTGCCTGACCCCCATCCTGCTTCCTGCAGGAGGTAGGAAGGGAGATAAGGTCTACATTTGTGCCATCAAGTATCACCCCAGTTTTCAGACGCTATAAACAGTTGTTGTTAGGGAGGAAACTGAGGCACACTGACCCGCTTCATTCACCCTCCAGTCTCTCTCTGCCAGTCCAAGGGTTAGCCTACTCCCTCCCTCTCTCCAGAATGAGCTGAAGGCAGCCTTTTGCTGGGGGAGGGTCTCAGAAGCCCATCTGGTGGCCTGTGGGGGGGAAGGCCAGGCAGGGTCAAGGGCTGGGGATGGGGGAAGCAGGAGGAGGGATGTGGTTGGAAGAGCAGCTGCTGGGTGGGGAGGAGGGGGTCAGCACTGAATAGGGGACCCCAGCTGGGGTTCCATAATGGTATCAGTGGGGGACAGGCAGAACCCTCTGCTGTCCAGATGGGGAAACTGAGGCGGAGACCCCTCAAATATTTGAGAAGGGAGGGGCCTCCCATCAGCTATTTGGGTCCATTCATCTTCCCCACAAGACACTGCGGCCCAGGAGCTTGAATGAATGCCTTATTAGTGGTCACTCAGTGTTCAGACTGAGAGCCAAAGAGCTGGAAGGCAGCTGGATCACCTGGAGCTCCCCCTTCACTCCTGACAAACCACAGGGATTCCCTCCCCCAACTCAGCTGCGGGGAGAGGGAGTGCCTGGCTCAGGCGTCTGCCTTCCCCTACTCACGTGCCTGAGAAAGACTCATTTTTAGCACCTGGCCTCTTTTTCCCTGCCTGGAGGGAGCTCAGGGGACAGAGCAGAGAAGAAAGCAGCCAAGGGGGGACAGGGAACTCGGCAAGCAGGGCCCAGGGGCATGTCTGACTGTTCTCTTCCCCCCATCCCAAGGGGCACCAGGTACAGAGAGGGGCCCTTAGCCTCCGTGCAGCGTGGATATGAAGAGGACGCTGTCCTGGTCCTGAAGCTGGTAGTCCAGCTCACCCTGGTCCAGGAGAGAAACGAGGAGACAGTCAGGGGCACTTTTCCACTGTCTTTTCCATTTCCCTCCCAGGGGGGTGGCCTGACTGCTTTGGGAGAGATAGAATCTTCCAGAAAAAAGGGTACCCTATATGTTAACCTGAAAATCTCCAGGATGGAGGAGAGCTCACCACTTCCCCCAGCTACCCATTCCTTCCTCACTCGGGGTGGGACACTTGTGCAGCCTCAGCTTGGAGGCCAGAGTGGGAGAGAGGATCACCCAGCCACCCGATCTGGGCCTGATGAAGGCCAAGACTTTCCCACTAAATCAGTGAAGGGAGGGGCTGAGGGATGGATGTCCCCGAGGTACTGACCAGCAGTTCCCAGTCGGCATCATTAATCAGCACCAGAATCCCTGGCCGCCTGTGGGAAAGGTGGCAGTGAGTAGCAGGGAGTGAAGGGCAGGAGGCAGCCAGCAGCAGGGGCAGAGGCTTCGGCAGGTGGGCTGCAGAGAGTGTGGAAGGAGTCTTTCCTCTGGAGGTTCTGGTTAAAGACCTCCCAGGAAGTGGAGGCAACAGTCTGAGTCTAAAGGAAACCAAGTCCAGACACTCCTGGTCTTCGGGGCCAGATGGAAAATGGTACACATTCCAGCACCACCTCTCAGGCCTCAGGCAGGGCACTTAGCTTCTCTGAGCATTAGTTTCCTCATCTGAAAATGGGGCACATTTCAGTGCCTTCCCTTTGAAGGCTTTACCAGGATGAAATGGGATGATGCCTGCGAGGGGCTTGCTCGCCAGAACCTCCTGGGCTCTAACCTCAGGGAAGACTGCCAATGGTGCAGGGCTATGAATGCCCAAGGGCAGCTCTGCCTGGCCTAAGGCAGGGCAGGATGGCAGCCTTGACCCTCAGGGCCGGCTGGTGACCTCTGCTTCCAGCAGATGAATGAATCCCATAAGTGTCCTGCTCCCCACTTTACACATTCAGTTGCCCTTGATGTAGAAGGAGAGTGACTTCTTGGCACAAAGAACTTGGCTCCTTTCCTAGGAGGCTTGGCCTGGGGACAAGTACAGAAGCTTTGGGCTAGGGGCAGAGGTACCCCCAGAGAGCCCACGTGTGTGTGTACATGTGCGCGTGCATACATGCACAGCAACTCCCCAGAACACTGGCCTGTGGTATCTAATACACTACCTATTAGACATGTTTACATTTATAAATTACAAATAAACTGGGTATTTAATTCCTCAGTCATACTGGCCACATGTCAAGGGCTCAATAGTTTCATGTGCTTAGTGGCCACGATATGGGACAGCTCAGTCAGAATGCTTCCATCACAAGAAATTCTATGGACACCACCACCCCGGACTGCTAAGAGATGAAAAGGCCTTAGTACTTTTCAAAGTACTTCCCATACAGAGTGCACCTGAGGCCCAGAGAAAGGAAGTAACTGGCTTAAGGGGCCACAGTAAATTTGTGGCAACCAGAAGGTGGAATCCAAGTTTTTTGACCTGGGTTTTTAACGGATCTCCAGTCGAGAGTGGTAACAAGAAAACAGAAAATAAACCTCAGACAGAGCTATACAGAAGCTCTTAGCTCCTTCCCTGGCAGGAAAGGTTAAGGGAAGGACAGGGGGGAGAACATGACAGGGGAAGGCTGCGGCTGAACCCAAGGACAGGGGCTCAAGCATCCTTCCTTCTACCCGAACCCTCAGGGAAGGGGGGAGAGGGACTCACACGCTGTCTCCCTGGATGAACAACTCGGGCCGCTCTTTTAGCAAATTCTTCTTGATCCACACAAGTAGGTTCCTGATGTCCCCTGGAGAGGAAGGCACAGAACAAACTTGTCAAACCCAAATGATCCCTGGCCCCCAGAACCTTGCCTGGGGCAGAAGGAAGTGAATAGGGGCCTCTTTCAGGTGAGGCTGTCATGGCCCCTCAACTCATCTATTCCCAAGGTGAGGGAATGGGTTAGGAGATCCTGCCAGAGAGGTCTTCAGAGAAAGTGGCACATGGCACATGGCACTGCTGAAGGGTTGAAGAGGCAATGGGACCCTTGATGTAGAAGGAGAGTGACTTCTTGGCACAAAGAACTTGGCTCCTTTCCTAGGAGGCTTGGCCTGGGGACAAGTACAGAAGCTTTGGGCTAGGGGCAGAGGTACCCCCAGAGAGCCCACGTGTGTGTGTACATGTGCGCGTGCATACATGCACAGCAACTCCCCAGAACACTGGCCTGTGGTATCTAATACACTACCTATTAGACATGTTTACATTTATAAATTACAAATAAACTGGGTATTTAATTCCTCAGTCATACTGGCCACATGTCAAGGGCTCAATAGTTTCATGTGCTTAGTGGCCACGATATGGGACAGCTCAGTCAGAATGCTTCCATCACAAGAAATTCTATGGACACCACCACCCCGGACTGCTAAGAGATGAAAAGGCCTTAGTACTTTTCAAAGTACTTCCCATACAGAGTGCACCTGAGGCCCAGAGAAAGGAAGTAACTGGCTTAAGGGGCCACAGTAAATTTGTGGCAACCAGAAGGTGGAATCCAAGTTTTTTGACCTGGGTTTTTAACGGATCTCCAGTCGAGAGTGGTAACAAGAAAACAGAAAATAAACCTCAGACAGAGCTATACAGAAGCTCTTAGCTCCTTCCCTGGCAGGAAAGGTTAAGGGAAGGACAGGGGGGAGAACATGACAGGGGAAGGCTGCGGCTGAACCCAAGGACAGGGGCTCAAGCATCCTTCCTTCTACCCGAACCCTCAGGGAAGGGGGGAGAGGGACTCACACGCTGTCTCCCTGGATGAACAACTCGGGCCGCTCTTTTAGCAAATTCTTCTTGATCCACACAAGTAGGTTCCTGATGTCCCCTGGAGAGGAAGGCACAGAACAAACTTGTCAAACCCAAATGATCCCTGGCCCCCAGAACCTTGCCTGGGGCAGAAGGAAGTGAATAGGGGCCTCTTTCAGGTGAGGCTGTCATGGCCCCTCAACTCATCTATTCCCAAGGTGAGGGAATGGGTTAGGAGATCCTGCCAGAGAGGTCTTCAGAGAAAGTGGCACATGGCACATGGCACTGCTGAAGGGTTGAAGAGGCAATGGGGACTCAAGGCAGATGGCAGGAGGCACTGTCACAAGTGAAAGTGTCGGGAGACAGACCGCCACCATCAAGTCCTAGAAGACGGTTTGACACCACCACCGGCAGGCTTCTGGGAAGGCCCCTGCACCTTTCCTTCTCCAGCTGGTCCCAGGTGGGGAGGACTTGGCTTTGCTCTGGGAGGGGTCTGCATATATTTCCCTTTGTGAGGGCAGAAAAACAATTGCTGAGCTGATAACATCAGTTAATTTCCTCCGGCACAGGGAGAGAAGAAGGATTCACCAGACACTCTGACAAATGGCTGCCCACTCCACCCCTTTCAGAGCTCGCCAGGCTGGGGGTGGCCACCCTGAAGAGGCAAGACGTTCTGGGTCCAAAGGACTTCCCCTGCTCAGCTGGACACTGAGATCTGCTGCTCTGGTTCTAGGAGAGCCACCAAGCTCTTTGCACACCAGGTGGGGTCTCAGAGCCACCTATCTGCAGGGTCACCTCTCCTTTACGAGGAGCAGGGTCCCAGGCCACAGCACACTGAAATCCGGCTCCGTAAACTCCTGAAGCCTATGGCTTTACCTACGCACTCCTCAAAAGGGAGTTGCTTCTCTGCTTTAGAGGACTTGGGGGCTGAAGGCCCTGGAGAGAGAACCAGGCTCTGGGAAGATAACCCCTCAGAGGGGTCTGCTGTCCTGGACCCACGCCTGAGACAAAGCTCAGGGCTAAGCTGGAGAAGGGTCTAGGCAGGGCCTTGGTTCCCTGCCGGGCTGCGATCCTGGCATGTAGGCCAGGAAAGGCTGCCTGGACAAGGAGAGGGTGAGCTCTGCTCCAATCTAGGCGCCGCAGTGTGTCACACGCACAGCACCAGCCCTGAGCAGGGTTTGAAGGCCCTTTCACTGACCTGCATGCCGCCCTCCCAGGAGGCAGGCTGCTGTACCTTGGATGGACTGGTTTACTCTGCTCCTTGCCAGCTTCTCTGGATTGCATGCCAGCAGAGCCCAGTGGCCTGGGCAAAGTGTCCATGGACTGAGACTGCTGCCTTTCACTTCCAATTCTTACTTTTAGACAAAGCAAATCAGAGTCCTCACGGTCCCTGCAGGGGGCAGGGGATGGGCAGTGTTGCCTCCAACTAGCTGTAGTCCATTTGGACTCCTGGCTGACTTCCTTGAGCCCTGGGTTTCAGAGGTTTCCCTGTGACCTCCATCGTGACACTGCCTGGTGAGCCGCCAGCCCATACATCTTGTGGCCGCTCGATAGAGCCGCCGGCTCTGACACATCCATCAGCCAGCCCTGGCGGGCGGGGTTGTGCCTGTGTGAGCGGAGGCCGAGAGGGACTAGGCAGTGCCTGGATTGAGGGCCACCAGCTGTACCTCCACAGCCCTGGCTAGACTGTACAGAACCAGGGCCCAGTGGGGTGACAGCCCTGGCTTTCTCCAAAAGGAGGAGACTTCTGCTCCACTCTGGATAGGCTGAGGGGAGGAGCAGGGCTAGTGGTCATGCCGGGGTCATCCAAGTGATGGCACCAACATGGAGTCCCAGGGGGAAGGGCGGAGGGGGTCTGCCTTCAGTGCTGGCTCATTTATCATGATGCTCCTCTTTGCTGAGGTCATTCCCTCCCTCCTCTGTGCCCCCCAGATCTGCCCACATTCTTGATGGCCTGTTACCATGGTGAGGCCACTGCATCACCACCCGTATTGTTCCCCCATGCCTGGATTTGGGGGTGGGGAGAGGTAGAACTCATGGCTCCCTTTGCAGGCTGCAAGGGCCACTTGGTCTGGCCTGAAACACACCCCAAGGGACATCTTGCTAGGCTTGTTGAGGCCCAGACAATATGTAAATAGCCTCCAAGCCAGATGGTCGGCTTCCAAAGGCACCCAGGGGAGGAGGAAGGGTTAAGCAGAGTCAGGGACTGGTGGCTTGGGGATGGCTCTGGGGAATCTCACTTTCTTCTTCCCTGTGTTGTCCTGCCCTCCCACTCCTACTGAGTTGATTTTCCTCCTGGGATCCTATTCAATCATTCACAAGACAAATATTTATTAAGCAACTACTATACACCAGGCTCAAGGGGAGATGGTGGCGGGCAAGATGGACACATAGAGCTCATGGAGCTCACAGGCCGGTAGATGAACATTGCTTATGTAATTAGTTGTGATCAAGGCTATCTGCTTGGTGAGGGCCCAGGAAAAGCTTTTCTAAGGTTCATTGGGAGTTGAAGCCTGAACAATGAGTAGGGTGGGAAGGGGGAGAGCTCCAGGCAGGAGGAGGAACATACGGGACCCCGAGGCAGGAGGCTCGGCAGGTTCCAAGTCACAGCACAGAGAGGGCGAGATCAGCACGAGATGGGGCCAGGGCGGCAGCCAGGGGCCAGGTCACATGGCGCATGTGTGGGCCTGGAGAGACGGTCTGCTCTGGAGGAGGCCTCTCCCTCCTCGTGAACCCTACGAGTATTTACCAAGTGTTTTTTCCACGGGCATGAACCCAACTGCCTGGGGCTGTGCGCCATGTTTCTCTGGATATACACGTAGCAGGACCCAGCTCAAATGTATGGCATGACCATCCTTTCTAACTACAGTAGAGTGTGTTCTGAGGACCTGGCACTGGCCACTGGCCACAGAAGCCCTGAGGTGTTTACTCAACTGCAGAGGACTGTGGAGGGGGGAAGGGAGAGGGAGAGAGGGAGGAGAGGTTAAGAAGGGCCACAGTCCTGGTTGTGAGTCCATCACTTCCCAGTTATATGACCTTGGGTAAGGAATTCCGAGCCTCAGCTTCTTTCACTGTGAAGTGGGAATGGTAAGAATGCCTCGTGGAGTCTTTGTGAGGATCAAGATGACCGATAAACAGCTCTCGGCACCGGGCCTGGCACATCAGTGCAGGAATGGTTCCACGATCCAGGGGTACCCATTACCTTCTGATGCCCTGAGCTTCCACACGCTCAACCCAGGGGCCTGAAACCCTGGGGATATGCTTAGATAGCTTGGAGAGTAGGGTTCTGTCAACCATTACCCAGGAGGTGCTAGGCCTGGCTGGGGTTTTCCGTGGGATCCGCCTCCTTTCTATCAGAAGCCGGAGAGGGAATGGGGGACTGGGTGGATTGGGAGGAGGCCCCAGACACTGATCTTCCCTCCATTTCAGATGTTCAGACACCTAATATGCTCCCAGGACCACCCAGGCAAAGGGTATCATGATCCAGGCTGTGGGTGCTGGGGCCAGATTGCCCCTGGGCACGTGGCACCAGAGAGGGAGGTGAGCACCTAAATACAGGTTTCCAGTGCAGGAAGCCTTGGGCCCTGGCCTGCCCATTCCAGAAAGAGAAGTGACAGCGGCTGCTGCTGAGTTGGGGTGATTGAGAGTCGGGACTCTAGAGCTAGAAGGCCCTGGGCTATGCCCTGGATGGCCTTAAGCAGGAAGTCATTTCACTTCTCTAGGTCAGAGGGTCATCCTCTGACAAGTGGGGATGGCACCCCAAACTTTGAAGAGCTGCTGTAAGGATTCAGGCATAATGCTAGCAGCAGGCCCGGCAGAGTATCAACCCACAGAACATGCATCCATCTGATTCAGGACTCTTATCCTCAGGGCTTCCAGAACCCTAGAGGCGGCTGGCAAAGCGGCACCATGCAAGCCCCTCTTTGCACCCTACAAAGGCTCCTACCAGGGTGCCTCACCCCAGTGGACTTGTCCTTGTCTGGGGACACTGATCACCCACTGTGGCAGGGCCCCCAGCAG